TGCATTCTGGAGCATGTTAAAACAATTAAGCGAATTTATTCAAGCTGGATCGATCTCTGATGTAGATGTGGATAATCTGAACACTGACTTCTGCGACTGCTACAATAATATAATCTCTGTCTCATCGCTTTCCCAGTCTAAATGGTCTGTAGACGCACTGATCCCTATCGACAGCGAAATTGTGAGGAAAGTACTGACGCAACCGCATTCGGGTAAAGCAACTGGTCTGGACAAGTGTCTCCTATTGTCCTAAAGGATTGAGCTAACTTCTTGATTAGAGCCCTTGCTAATTTATACACATTGTGTGTGAAGCAATACAAAATAGCTGACTGCTAGAGGAGTACCAGCCTTACACCAGTGTAAGAAAGGAACAATCAAATATCGACCAATCACATATCTACCAATCGACCGAGCAGTTTTAAATGCTTCCAACACAATCATTCTTGAGATGCTAACACAAACGCGGTCAGATAATCCCCTTCAATTCGCTCACCGGGGTTCTTAATCTGTCCCAGGCACAGTGGCCTGCCTCATGTATTCGGTTCTGTTGTATATAAGCAATAAAATCAAGTCCATCGTAATCTGGTTTCTAGATTACAATAAGGCAGTCAAGTAAATCGCGAGCTACTGCAAAAAGACCTGTACGGTGCTGTAAGCATCCTTCATCGTTCTCATGTTAAGGGATTATTTTACCGGTCGCACTCAGAGAGGAGCTCCTTGCCGCTAATCCCAAAAACTGGTGTCCTTCAGGGAGCTAGTGCAGCGCCGTAGCTGTTTTCCACTTATGCCAGCTCGATACCAATCACAATGAAGTATGCAGATGAAGATATTGGGCATCGATCAAATGACCGGCGGTTCTTCATTCAGGTTACAAGACATTCTGGACGACCTCACTGTTTGGTCGATAACTCATGAGCAGTTGCCTAGTGCGTCATAATGTAACGGTGTCGTTTGGTCGCTGCATAGAGTAAGTCAGTATCAGCAGCTCCTCACGCAGTGCCATAGGCTACACATCAAAGGAAAGGGGCTGCAATGCTTCACATTAACGAAGTCGTAGGAGAGCCACTCCCTCGAGACGCTTGTCTCGCCGCACCAACTACGATGGCTCGGACACGTATGCCCGTTCAGCGTCTTCCGCGTCGTGCCTTGTTCGCGGTCGCTGGACAGGGTTGGAGGAGGCGGTGCGGTGGACAGCCTACAACTTGGAGAAGCAGGATGAAAAAGCTGACGAAACAGCTTGCCACGGTTGGTTCTTCCCGACTCCCCGGATGGGGTCCCAAAGATGCAGAGTGCAGTTGGTTGGAAAAATTGCAAGTCATGCCTCGAAACCGAACTCAGTGGCGGGCGTGTATCTCTGCTTGTTGCAGTGATTCCCCACCCCTAATAAAAAAACATCAAAAAAACAACTCAAAAACAGTGAACAAATTGTTTGTTTTCTTTCTTCTTCTACACTAACCTTGTTGTCCTATTCCGCCATGGTTCCGGTGGCACAATATGTGTACACAGTTTGCGATCATATATATATATTTATATATATATATGTATATATATATATCAGCTGACTAGATGTAACGGCTTCCAACTGTTGATACCATAACTATACCTAAGCGTATGTGTAAGGATACTATAATGTCGCTACAAAGTATCGGAGGGTTATGGTTAATTAAGATTTATCTCGGTTACATTATTCGATTGGAAACTGCAACAAAGGCAGAAGGTTGTCGTTCTACGCAGCTAGTTCGCGACGCAAAATTGTCCTCCGTGAATACTGACTAGAAGTAGCAAAAAGAGATGTCTCTGTGTAGCTGCATCTAAAATCCTTCAGGTATACAAACCTGTTATGTTGGAGAGCATTAGCGATATTTCATTTTGGCAGTGTTTGTGCAGGAATTGCTTGAATTCCCACACCGACTTTGCCTCGACTATCTGCGGCGGCAGGTTGATACTTTGTTTCGTCGTTGCTAGTGTTCCTCCAGATTAGACGCGCACTGCACTCTCCAGTGATATTTCCTGCTCTACACTCATAAAGCAACACGGAGTAACCGCCAGATGGTTAAACACTTAGCTCGATGTAGTGGGGTGTTCCAATGATGACTTGATTGTGTGCACTCAGACCAACTTTTGCAAGAGACCAGCGTCAACTAAACTCACAACACAAGCCCGTCATCATAGCGCATCCTCAACCAAGAGGAAGTGCAATTTCATATGCCAGTACACGAGCCTACCATTCATCAGTTACCCCTCATCTAGCGCGATTTTGCTTGATCCCAACACCCATTCGAGAACGGATCAGCCAATTTACGCCATGAGGGTACTGTGTTTCTCCTTTACTAATCCGTCAGTTACGGTTTGTTGCTATAACACGGGTATTTTGTTACAGTGCCGAAAGTGCGTGTGTTACAGCTGCGAGTATTCCTCCCTCCTGGGTGTACGAAACCTTTTATCGACCGACTTGATGAAGGTCAACTTGACAACATTCAGCTCAGGTTCATCTGGCCAACCACTTGTGACGGGGTCTCCAAATTCGACCGTTGTTGTTCTCCTTGGAAGATTATTTTACGCTATCGACTGCTGACTCTATATTTTATTTGCACCTTTGAAGCAATTTGTCTTTTTTCTGATCAAGTCTCAAGGTCAATTAGGTCACACTCCATGAACCACCTAAAACGTTACGCGTTATTGCCTTAAATCTTCTTCGAATACGGTCATAAAGTCTGGAACACCCTCAAACGAATTAGGAATAAATGTCTTGGAAAAAAGGAAAACCTTCGTGTTGGCTGGCAATTTGACCTCAGTTGTTGTTCTGTCGACAAATGTATATCAGTGCGGAAGCCGTTCCCGGGATCCTCACTAGATTTCGTCTAAGCCTGCGTAGAGCCATGAGTAGATAAACGAACGATAACGTCCGTGCGGTTATTCCTCTCATTGTCCGATATGAATTTCGAGAGTAATTCAAGCGCGCATTTAAATGGTTCAGGGAGAGCAAACAGAGACAACAAATTGGCACCTGCTTGACACAACAGCCATTAATGAGCGAGTGGAGTGCTCCTCAAACGTCGAAGCAAATGTACTGAGAAAGCCGTAAAGGAATGGCGCAGTGTAACATAAGGTAACAAGGTTTATTCTCGGTTTTACACGAGGCACACCAGATAAGGAATAACCAGTACGCATGAAGCGCTGACATCATGGTCGTGGAGACTTGACATCAAGTTCCAGCACACTTTTCTGCCACCATTGGAAACCATACTGTTTCGATCAGACAATGCTAAGGGTACCGTCAGCTGGTATGGTCCACCGTCTTGTAGTATAATCCGCGTTCTCAGATATTTTTATTACGGAGACAGCAGTGGGTAGTGCTAAAAACACTCGGAAATGCTGTCGTGGACCATCAGGAATAAAATCGAGATCTCCGGAAACGCAGTCCTCAATATGTAATACAGACATAGTGTCTGGAGTTATGAAGTCGTAGCGGTAAAATTCACTGGAACCCCGTCAATGATAGGGCCACTTAAATAACATCAAATTAGTTGCCGTTTCTGAAACATGATGTAATCTTCACGAAAACATCATGCTCGTGACAGGTATGCCAACCAACAACTGAAGAATTATTCGTGGTACAGGCGACCGCTAAAAGATATCGGTGAAGTTATCATCCGTTCTAAAGTATTTGTACGACAACTGCGGCTACATCTGGGCATCAGTATGGTAAGTTGAGCATGGCGTTCCACTCGACATTCACTTCCCAGTATTGTGGTCTCCATGGGTATGAGTAATTCCACTTGTTGCTTCCGCAACGGAAGCACGGGGATTGGGTTAAAGTGATGTCCATTCCCAGGGATAGGACTGAGCTGCTAGATCGCCTGGTGTGAAACACGGTGTGTACATAGTGAAATTAAGTCAAAGACATGGCAACATGGCCTAGCCGCATAATGGCATAATTGCGCCCCAAATATAAACTAGATACTTTGCGTGTCCCAGAGCCCAGAAGGTGCAAAATTCTGGGACAGTGGATCATGAAGATCAGGCCTCTCGGAGATCCGCATCAGTGGGGAGGGATGCAAGCAAATAAAATAGTTGAAGAATTCGTCAGTCCTGTGTTCCGTAAAGAAAAGGAACCCACGATTTCCAGGCACATCACTGAGTTCCTTCATGCACAACAAAAGTGGCAAGGATGCAGAGACAGCAGCTAGCGTTGATATTTGTTTAGCGAAATGAGGCAAATAAGTAGGAGACTGGCCTGAAGACAATGCAGTCTGAGCACACGCTGTCTACGTGAATGGTGACATTACAGACTATCCGTCGGACGACAGCATGCCACCACGGGTAACTTTTGCTGGCATAAAAAGATGAGATATCGCAACCTGATCAACTGTAATCCCATTAGCCTATCATTATTGATAGGTAAAGTAGTCTGGAAGGTGCGTTTACGTTCCCGAAAGTGATGCCATGGAATCTTCGCGTTCAGTTGAGTCCAAGAGCACACTAGTAGCTGGTATGTTCTTACTTCTGAGATGACTGCTCCAATGAGGCAACACAAATTACCAATATCGGACATAAAGATAAAGAAATACGATCAGAAATAATGCAAACGGAGCTGTGAGATGGAAAGCTGATCAACAATGATATTCCCCTTGGTTCCATCAAGCAAATGTTCGAACGAACTGGCTGTGCGAAATCAATGGACAAACCTGAAGCGTTAGGTAGGCAGGGGAAGCCCTTGTATTTGAACAGACGACTCAGCAGACAAGGCGTTAGACGCTGTATCTCGAATGTTGGAGGTTGTTCGGTTACCAATTACTGCACCTAATAGAGCTGAAGTAGAGAATTACCCAATCAAGGGATCCCGACGTGGGTCTGCTATGTAGATGGTAGAACGGAACGACACTGTGCATACGTAGGGTGGACGCTGAGACTTCCGCCAGCGGTCAAAGACGCCTAGGTGCTGAAAATTAACACAAGTACGCTGCTCAGTCCCGCTTACCTCGATGGAAAGGAGAACGATAGGTAGAGCGCTGAGTTGGACAAAATTGACAGAGCTAGTAAATGGAGTATAATTATTACAAAATATTGAGATGGAATAAAATGAAGGTACGTTAGTGGAGAAATGTTCGAAAGGTGGAAAATTTGGCGATGGATAACAAAAGTGTGAATGTTAACACCGGTAAGAGGGATAGCAAAAGATTATAATGGCGAGGTTCTTTGTGATTCTTCATCAAAAATTGAATTGTAAGCCGGAGGTGGTGCGACCAGCAAAGGTTTATCGGAAGAATCATTGCTACGTCGTCTACGGAAAGGGAAAAGCATTTTGCGCAATAAGAACGGCTCTACCGGCCCCGATTCGGTGGCTCGAGCGTCTGGGAACTCCAAGGCGCGTCGAGCAGCCGGTTCAATCCGAATTACCGAGTGGTCAGCCCTTTGTCTTCTTCGTCGTAGTCGGTACCGCCACACTCCAAAGGCAGTTGAGGTCGACACCAACATAATGACTGACGTAGCCGCGATCCAGGCGGTTCGGTTGCCAGAGTCCGCCGATTGCGTAGGGGGACTGCCAAAACTAAGCACCATAGACCTACGGAATAAAGATATAAATGGAAGAGACGCTCGAAAGCAGATAGCGGACTGGAAATCTAGGGTACCTTGATGTTTACCGTCACTGTGGTCTCAAAGGCTAATAATGCACATGGCAGTGGAATGTACTAGCAAATATGTTCGGGATATTTATGACGAAATAGAGCATTGAGTATAGACCGGGTGAGTGACCGATAAGAAGCCATCATACCTTTAAGTATAAAGCACCCGCAGAAATGCCAGATCGCAGCACCGCAAATGACGCGTTCACGAGTGTACAGCCGGATATTTGTTTAAAAAATACAAAGTGAGCACAAAGCGAGTATCAAAAATCTAGCCATCGGTCTGAATGGAAGATTGCCCGTTTGAGAATATTGCATCAGCCTGTTACAATGGGAAAAGCTGATCCTGACAAAGGTCTTAAAACCGCCATGCCATGGGATGGGATAACACTTAAAAGTTACAAAATCCATTCCCTACTTTCCATACAACATTTTGTATCAACAAATGAGTGGAGCAGCTGTAAACCAACACCAGAGGAGGCAGGTTTCCAACCCGTCCAGTTAAAAAGCTGAGGCAACAAGGACGATGGTTCCCCTCTTTGCCATCCTGCCCAACTAGTCCTTTTCTTAATTCGCATTTTCCTTCTGGTTATCCATGCCGTCATGAGTGCGTAACAGTAGAAGTAGTCGCAGCAAAAGCAGTGGCGGAAACTAAAACAATAGCAACGGTTAAAATCGGCGGCCGCGACTAACATCACAAGCGCCAGCACCGACAAAAGGAAGCAACAACAACAGCGAGGGCAGAATTGTATCTTTCCATTGCGCTTAACGTCTTCACGCACGTGATACAACCCTTCAGCGGAAAGCAACAGACGAGGATCGCTGAGATTTAAAACAATTTCTCCCCTACAAATTAAATAATACTGAGAACAGACGCAGCTCGTCAATGCCGACAACGACACCTGAATATTACGTGCAATTGTCAGTGGATGCAGGCAAACGAAACGAGGAAACAGGAATCCTGCCCTCAAGTGTAGGACAACCTGAGGCTGACCGATAATCGGTTTTGAATGCAAAGCACCGGCTTAATCCAGCTTATCGCAACCGCCTCGGAGAAACGCAGGAGACGTGAATCGGCATGTAGTAGCAGCTCGTTGAATGACGTGCTGACCTCAATCTGGGGTCTACCGAACGAAGATGATGGTGGCCTGCGTGAACGCGTAGCTTGAGCTGGGTCTGGCTGCTGCGCTGTTTCGCATTGAACCCACTCTGGCACGTGTTGCTTCAACCGGGAACTGGGAGTTCTCGCTCCGCTCGGAGTTCTAGCTCAGTAGTCATATATGAAATGGTAAACAGAATGGGAGCTGGCCCCCATAGCATGTGGCTTCAGTCTATTTTGATAACTTCGGCAGCACTGAAAGTGCTTTACGTGGCAGAGATCAGATGTGTGGTAGTCCTCAATGTAGCCATGTCACCCTCTAAGGGTGGCTGGACCTTACCGTGGTGCGATGGTTTGTGTGCCTCAGAGATCCATTGAGCTATGCTGGGTGGTGCTTTTTTGGCACTTTCAGAGCCACTCATACCAGATTGGTCCATGGTTAGAGGCCAGACAAACTCAGCCTCCTGGTCCTCCAGGTTGGGGGTTGAAATGGGCGTGGCTCCTCATTTCATAAAACAGGCTCTGTAGTCCAGTGCCAAAACCCGCTGCCTTGCGGTAAGGGTTTTTGAACCAAAGGCTTTGGTTGAGAACCCTAATCGTTCTCCTGTCTAGGCCTGGGCAACCTGACAGTATTCTGCCCACGCAATACAATGAACCTTTCCTACAACAATTTCTTGATGCTCTGGCCGTCGCAGAGGATAATAAACGGCGCCCTATCTGCTGCATCGAGCAGGGTGGATAGGGGTATGGATGCTACTGCTCAGGCCTTCCCGTCTTCTTATACCCCTTCTTGCGCTTCTTCATCCTTATCGTCCCACTCCAACTTTACTTATATCCCCCCCATTTTCAATCCCCAAATTCTTGGCCCTCCCCGAGCTTACTTTAATAGTCGCTTGTCTTCTAATTTCAAAGCACACACAATCACAGGGCCTCGCTCCAATCCAGTTGACAAGTCCATGTTCGACCAAACGGACGACGTCAGTTCACCCGTTTCCCTTTGGAGTCCTCGTGTATCGCTAAGACTGGCATGCCTCAACGTGCGCACTTTGCTGCAGATTGTTCAACAGGCAGCACTTGCCCGCACACTAGAGACCCTATCGATCGATGTTTGCTGTTTATCAGAAACCCGACTGCAAGGTTCGAGCTCCATGCTTACCCTGAGATCCCCCACATGCGACACTGGCGGCACATTCTCATTGCGCCTGTCTCGCGATGATGCAGCTTCAAATGCCGGTCAAGCTGACGTCGGCATTGTTTTGAGTCCCCGGACTGAAACTGCCCTGATTGATTGGATCCCAGTAAACAGTAGGATGTGCGCCGTTAGATTAGCTGGTTCATTCCGTGCTACGAAGTCGCGCGGGGACAAACGATACTTGTTTGTCATTGCGGCCTACGCCCCTACAAACTGTAGCACTGATTCGGTAAAAGATGATTTCTATCAGCAACTTCACGAGCTCCTTCGTTACAGGAGAAGCACGGATACGGTGGTGTTGGCTGGCGATCTAAACGCCAAAGTCGGAAAATTGTCCTCTGATGAGCTTCATCTGGGCGGCCAACATGGTGTAGGCTCCCGTAATGATAATGGTGAGCGATTGCTACAGCTGTGTGAAGATGCTCGCCTCTTTATCGCAAACACCAACTTTCGACACAGCAACCGCAGAAGCGTGACTTGGCGGCCACCAGCCTCGGGCCAGCCATTGACGCAAATCGATCATATCGCGATCAGTTACCGCTGGAGAGGCTGTGTCCAAAACTGTCGCTCGATTTGGAGCACGAGCGTGGACTCTGACCACGCACTTGTCTGTGCCGACCTCCTGGTGCGTTTCGGTGGACGTCCGCAACGTCGATGTGAACGGATTGACACCAGCCAGCTGGCGAAGCCAGATGTTCTGAATGTGTACCAAAGTGCGCTGACATCTGGGCTGAGTAAGCGCCCACTAAACACCGTTGAAGATCACTGATCGCAAATTCGTCAAGCGTTGCTGTTAGCAGGCATGTCTTCATGTGGCAAAGCAAATTGCCAAACCGGACATTGGGTCTCTACGCAGTCTCTGGAACTTATGGATGCTCGAGGCATTCCAGGTGGATGCGAATACAATGAGGCATGTACGAAGCACAGGGCCAAACTGCGTGCTAACCTGAAAAGAGACCTCGAAGTCTGGTGGTCTCATCGTGCCTCTAAGATGGAAACAGCCGCTGCCGTGAGTAATCATCGTAAGTTATTCCGTCTGATACGGGAAACAGGCAGCAGGAGACCTGGTATTAGCGAGACCATACGTGACGAGAGTGGGCAGCCGATCCACAGTCTGTCAAAACGCTTGGAGCGTTGGGCTGAACACTTTGCAAGGCAATTTAACCAACCTGAGTTATCGGTTTCTTCTTCGGGCATTGAGCGCCCTTCTCCTTGGATCCGCCCTCACGCGCAGAAGTCGAATGTGAGATCAGGCTGTTGAAATTGCATAAGGCCGTAGGGGCAGACAGAATTCCCCCAGCCCTCTTCAAATTAGGGGGACCTGCTCTAGTAGAGGATTTACACGAGTTGCTAGTAAAACTTTGGGAGCAGGAGACAGTCCCGACAGACTGGAACCGCTCCGTCATTGTCCCAATTTTCAAGGGAGGCTCCCGTTTAGAATGCGGCAATCATAGAGGAATCAGTCTGATTTCGATTGCTTCTAAATTGCTTGCCTCTGTCATTCTCCACAGACTGACTGGCACTCGTGAAAGCCAGATTCGTGAAGAGCAAGCCGAATTCCGTCGAGGTCGGGGCTGCATCGACCATATCTTCACCTTGCGCCAAGTATTGGAGCACAGCCATGTTTATTGGCGACCCACCGTTGTCGTGTTTCTTGACATAAAAGGTGCCTTCGACTCAGTCGATCGATGTGCCCTTCGGGACTGTCTGCTGAGGAAAAGTATGCCTGATAAATATGTAAATATTGTCAAAGCGCTGTACGCACATAGTTCGGGCAGGGTGAGGGTTTATGGCAAACTCTCGCCACCCTTCAGTATCACCAGCGGTGTGAGACAAGGATGCCCGCTGTCACCTTTCTTCTTCAACTTCGCTATTGATGAAGTCATGGAAACAGCGTTCGCTGGACACGACCTAGAAGGTGTGGAGCTACTTCCTGGTGAGCGACTTCTTGACTTGGAGTATGCGGACGATATTGCCCTAATGTGTGACAGCTCCCAAACATGCCAAACAGCACTGGACCGATTAGCACAGGCTGTCAATCATTATGGTTTATACTTTGCTCCATCGAAATGCAAAGTACTTCTCCATGATTGACAGGGACCCAACACTGCGCTAACGCTTGGTGGTGATCTGCTAGAAGTCGTTCAGGAATTCAAGTACCTGGGCAGCTATATTAGCACCCGTGGGATTGAAGATGAGGTTACGAACCGTATAGCAAAAGCTCGAGGTGCTTTTGCCAATATCCGCCACCTGTGGCGTAGACGCGACATTACTCTAGCCCTGAAGGGCAGAGTTTACAACGCAGCCGTCCGTTCAACTCTCCTATATGGCCGTCAAACCTAGCCCATCAGGTCGACAGACATGAAGAGGCTCGTCACATTCGATCATCGCTGCCTTCGCAGCTTAGCTCATGTCTGGTGGGAACACCGCGTGAGCAATGAGCGTGTTAGACGTCGCGTATTTGGTGCAGGAAGAGCGAGTGAACCGCTCAGCACCATTATATCACGCACCAGGTTCCGATGGTTGGGCCACGTGTTGCGCATGTCAGCACACCGACTCCCGCGACGTGCATTGCTTGCGCGTCGTGGGTGCGGTTGGAAGAGGAGGAGGGGAGGCCAAGTGATGACTTGGTCGAGAGAAATGAAAAC